GTATACTTTGTAAAAAACATATCATAATTAGATGACAGTGCTGAATATGGGGGTTCAAGGATGCTATTTTGAGGTACAGAGTGTCACGCCTCCCCGCTTAGTGTTAGTCACTAATGCAGAGGATGCAGTGTGCCCAAGGTTTTGACAATATAACTACCAAGTGTTGCTAAATATTATAGTGCTCTCCCCATAAGCTCTTGCAAAGTTTTGTGTACCTTTTAACACTTTGTGGATCAGTCTGATCTCAAAGTTAGTAAGTGTGACTTCTCTGGGTTGCTAGAAAACATTTCTTTGTATCTGTGCAGAGTTGTTATCCCAAGGCAAGTATCAATATTTTCGAGAGCATAGGTATCTCGGCATTTAGCCATCAATGCCATGAGATGGTGTGCCTCAGTTTCTCTTCTACACAGCAGACCAGATTTATTATGGTTTCTCTGCTGTGACAAGCTTCAAGCCAGTTTACATGTATTAGCTGAGAAGCAGCATTACCATAAGGCTTCTTAACACAGGGTGTCTTCTTATCTACTGCTCCTAGCATGTCCAAAAGCTTTTCACAAAAATTATGCATATTGCACCTTTTCCTAGGGTTTACCATCAGTACCAATTTTTTTATGATCAGGTTTAACATTGGCATCAATTTTTTTTTCATCACAGGCACGCATTTCCAATTAATTTTATCATACCACACCTTCTGTTTAGACAATCTGGTTTTTTCATTACCCATTGTGTCTGCCAACTCCTTTCTGACCTTAGCATGTGCTGAGTTCCTGTTTTTTCTTTCCTTTTAGTGTTCCTTTCACTATGGGTCCTCAACCCAGTGGTATCTTCGGGGCTTTGGTTCTCCAGGGTCTGGTGAGATAAGGGATTCTGCATATCGGCTAGCCCTTTGTGGAGGTATCTCCCAATCCCAGGGTTATGCACATAGGGGAAAAAAATCTATCTCCTGGCTTGGAATTACCCTGTGACCCCCACTCCCTACACTGAGACCTTCTCCGCCCCCTTTTCCTAGAGGGTTGTGATCTGTACTATAAGAGTGTCTACTCTTTGGTCAGATGCACCTTTTCCCAGCACTCTCCCTCAGCTGCTTTCTGTCTTACCAGCCCTTGGGATGTCCTCTTCCCCTCTGCCAGCATAGTCATTTACATTCTCACAGACAACTGCTGCCTAAAAGTTTCCTGGACTCATCTTCTTGGCTGTCACAGGCATGGGAGATGCATCTTGATTTAAAGAGAGACAGTTACTTTGCACGAGCATAAGCAGGACCAGTGTCCTGGAAAACTGGGAGCTGGGTTGGGGTACCCTCCGTCATCCCTTTTTCTGCCCCCGGGAAGTCAGCTGTGTGACTGCTCCCTACTGAAAGGACAGTTACCCAGTTCCCTCTCTGAACCCGAGTCACAGGCTGAGTACCTGGGTGCACAGGTGCAGAATCAGCCACTCTGTCCTGGGCATCCTCTCCCTAGTGACCAGTGAGGAGACATTCATGTACTTCCACTATTCTTTCCCCAGTTTCCCTTTCTGCTTCTTGCCCCCCGGACACCTCTCTCTATGCTCTCTAGAGTGGGATATGTCCCCTGATCAGCTACAAAGAGCTTGCAGCTAACAGCTAGAACAGTTCTCTGAGTGACAGTGACTCCACGCCCTCCCTTTCTGAGGGAGGTGTTGCCTTCACTTGCGGTGCAGGAGCTGGTCTCAACCTTCCCCCACAGCTGGAGGCATTCTGCTTTCCTCTGCTGCAGAGGAATCAAAGAGACTTTCTCCCTTTCCTTCAGCAGTTCTTGGGACTTTACCCTTTCCCTCTGGGATCCCAGTATAGTACACCACGTTACTGTGAGTAAATACCTTAACAGCCTGAGCTACACAGAAAAATCTTTTCCAATAAGCATGTCACTGGGAATATCGTCAACCACTCCCGCTTTCAATACACTTTCCAAACCATCAGTGTCTATGCACATTTTGGCCAAAGGCACAAGAATCCTGAAACCTCCTCCTCATAAAAGCTCTGCCCTTTGTCCTGGCAATATGTCCCCTTCTTGAATTACACTCTGCTTAACTACAGAAATCTCTGCACCTGTACCCTCCCATCCTCAGTATTCCCTGCCATTAATCCTGACAACATTTATGTGCTCCACGTCTGGTTCTGCAGAGGCTAATCTCAAATGCCCAAGAGGCTTCTGTGCTGTGGACAGCCCATGTAAATGCTGCTATCTGTTGCCTGATTCCTCCCAGCACCGAGCATTCATTCCTCAGGCAATCAGTGGAATTACAGGGATAGCACCTTTTGGGCTCTTCTGTTTTTAACAGAAGATTTGGGATGGGGATTAGAGGAATGGTTCTGAGGATGTGAGTGCCCAGCCTCCCAGCCACCCTCCTTTCTCCCAGGGGTAAAATGGGAGCCCTGCTTCCCACCAGGTTTAAACCCCTCTTTCTGTGGTTTACACTCAATAGATACCTGGGTCTGGTTAAAAGGCATCAGCTAGAGACAATATCTAATCCAGTTTTCACATTATTGTCCCATAGGCACTTTCACATCATCTATACATATGTTTAGGAAATGCTTCTGAGCAACAAGGTCAAACATTTCTTCAAAAGTTTCAATCCCTTTTCCCTCACTCATTTTTGCCTCTCGATTTTTTTTCATCCTGGTTACATATTCCCCATTACTCATACCAGCATTTCTCTTAAGCTTCCTAAATTTCACCATATATGTTTCAGGGGTGATCTGAAATCATTTCACAGCCATTTCTTTGAATTTACAGTAATCTAAAGCATCCTGGATTGGCATTTCATTGAACATATTCAGAGCTTTACCAGTTAACTTTGCAACCAAAGTGGGGATTTTCTTGTCTGAGGGAATCTCATGAATCACACACAGCCTCTCAAAGGTAGTGAAATATTCTGTAACATTGTCTGTCTCTTTGCACGCAGGATACAATTATTCCCATTTGTGGAATTCTGGAGAGGTCGGAATCAGTGGTCTGGAAGGGTTCTGGTTTTGCTTTTCTAGCACATCCAATTGATGCCTCTGCTCTTTTTCCTTATCCTCCATGGGTAGTCTCTGGGCCTCAGCTCTAGGACTTGCTGATGTGCTAACTCCTCAGCCCCTGTTTCCAGATCCTTTAGCTCCAAGATTTACTGATGTTTTCTCTCTCTCTGCCACCTGCAGTCTGTACAGTTATAACTTTGCAACTGCATCGCGCTTGCCCATCTTTCTGCTTTTTCTGTTCCTACTTCCCTTTCTCAAAATAAGCAAACAGAAAATAAACTGGTAACCTTCTCTTTGACAGTTCTCAGCTAGCATACTTGCAGTCTCACTTAAAATCTCTACACCAGATGTGCAACTCTCATTCTGAACAACTATCTGTGCATTTCACCTTGCTCACTGTGACAGGGTCCCTGGTGTGGAACCGCTGAGCCCTCCAAACCCACCAGCCTGGGCTGCCTCTCACATTGTGATATTAATGTCAATATAGAAGCCTCTGACAGGCACTGCACTTACTCAGCCATTCACAGGCAGGGACACACCCAACTGAGTTACATGAATGATCTCCCAGCCACTCATGTACCATCAGTAGAGAGGCCTCATCCAATTCCCCCCAGCTCCAGACCTACACCCCAGAACTGTTCCATCTTGCGCTGGCCGCTGTCAGCTCATTACTTAGTTCGCCACTCCCTCAATGTGGAATGGACATACACCAGCCTTTGTAAACTGAGCAGAGATGTCCCAAGCATCTCACCCAAAAACACACTGTTTTAGGTAAAATATAAAATAGAATTATGAACTACAGACAAGTAGATTTTTAAGTGACTATAAGTAGCAGACATAGAGATCAGAGTTGGTTACCTAAAGAAATAAAAGTATATTTACAGTCTGAATTCTTAACTTAAACAGACTAAATAAAATTTGCATCACAGACTCTCAACCTAACAGATGGTAAAAGCGGCTTACAGTTCTTCAGTACCAAGACTGGACGCCCTTCCAGCCTGGGACCAATCTTCCCCAGTTAAAAGTCTGTGTCTTCCAGACCTTCTTCCAGGTTTTGAGATTGGGGGGGTGAGGGAGGGAGAGAGGCCGGCCAATTGATGATGTAATTCTCCCTCTTTTATACTTTCTTCCAGCTGCTAGAAAGATCCTTGCTGTGATGTGGGTTAGTCTGCTCACATGGCATACAAGCCTTCTCTGAGAAGCTTCTGGGATAGTGGAATGGGTGTTGAGGAGCCATTAATGCCCGTCTGGCAAGTGATGGGTGCTCCTTTGTCCTTATTGAAAGAATGACTGTGGGCAGGTATACCCTGTTAGGGGGATTATCCTCAGATTGAGGGCAGCCTGGCCTGGTGACCATGGGCAGGGCAGCCTAGACCAGCAGCCACCATCAAATAGGGCCACCATCCAGGGGCTGGTTGTCAGCTGAATCATGGTGACAGGCTCCATGTGTTGTCGATGTGAGCTTCAAGCCGTCCCTGTGATGGAATGTAAATTTCTTGTTCACACATTTCTCCTGCCAGAGAATGGCCATTTGACCAGGTGGGAGCTTTGCTATCTCTGAGAAACTGGTCTGTGGTGGCTCTCCAGAATTGTAACATTCTCAGTAACGTCATACAGTAAAATCTCATAACTACGTACAGTGTTGCTACATATTTTAACAGGACGATAATGTTCAAATGATACCTCACAAGGTATATATTATACAAAATATATCATAATTTTGCTGAGGAGTGAATATAGGGTTACAGACTTTCACAGTGTCTGTCTGTGCGTATTCCCAGCCAATATGTGGGTAATTCAATCCCTCATAAGCAAAGAGTTCTGCACCTTTGAGGACCTGGGGAGCTGGCCCTGGGATTTCACTGGTTTACTAAGGACTGGAGTTCAATTAATAGACTATTTTTTACGACAAAGTCTTATGAATTCACCTGATCTCATTTGTTTTCTCTCATCTGAACAGGCTTTCCAGTTTCCAAACCTGATGTGATCTCCCAGCTGGAAGAAAGGGAAGAGCCATGGGTCCCAGACCTCCAGGGTTCAGAGGAAAGAGAGATCCTGAGAGGTACCTGCACAGGTGAGGAAACATGAAACCTACTCGGAATGTGTAAGTGCCTGAAGAAAACATCTGGGATTCCCTACAAAGGCTTTGGGAGCTCTGAGTTCAGGATTGTCCCCAGCAAGTGTCATATCCCTAAGGAAGATATAGCTCACAGCTTCCTACAGATCCTAACTGACACCTCACAGTAGCTTCCTCCCTTCCCACTGAGAATGTGTATGGGATATGAAGGCAGAATTGATTTCCTCCCATCTCCCCTTTGGGGGAAGTTTGGGGAAATTCCATTTCTGATTTTTATTTGACACCTCTCCAGCACTTATTTTGGTTTGGTCTTCCCCTTTCCATCCTGTTTGAGATTTCTGTCTCTATCTCTGTCCCAGCAGGTGATGTGATGGTGAGTGAGAATGAGAAGCAGAAGTCTCATCAAGAAGATGCTGAGCAAGTGGAATCACATGGAGGATTATTGCAAAGATACAAAGGGGATGTGTCCAGCAGTCATGAGCAGGGAAAAGTCTGTGAGATTCAGCACAAACCAAAGAGGGAGCAGGGAAACCAGCCAGAGGAGAAAATGGGTAAATTAATTTATTTCTGGGGCACTCAGAAGGACCTCAAGGAAACCACGGCCCACCAGAAAACCCTTGGGGGAAAGAGTAAAAATACACACACTGAATGTGGGAAAAAGTTTAGTCACTGCTCAGCCATTTTAAAACATCATGGAATCCACATGGGGGAGAGACCCTACGAATGCTGTGAGTGTGGGAAAAGCTTCACTCGGTGTTCGCACCTTATTACGCATCAAAAAAGCCACAAAGGTGAGAAACCCTATCAATGCTTTGAATGTGGGAAAACCTTCATTCAGAGCTCAGACCTTATTACACATCAGCGAATCCACACTGGAGAGAGACCCTATGAATGCTGTGAGTGTGGGAAAAACTTCACTTGGCGCTCACAACTTATTACGCATCAGAGAATCCACACAGGTGAGAAACCCTATGAATGCTGTGAGTGTGGGAAAACCGTCACTCAGAGCTCAGACTTTACTACGCATCAAAGACTCCACACAGGGGAGAGACCCTATGAATGCAGTGAGTGTGGGAAAAGCTTCACTTGGCGCTCACAATTTATTACGCATCAGAGAATCCACACAGGTGAGAAACCCTATGAATGCTGTGAGTGTGGGAAAACGGTCACTCAGAGCTCAGACCTTACTACACAACAAAGACTCCACACAGGGGAGAGACCCTATGAATGCGGTGAGTGCGGGAAAAGCTTCACTCGGAGCTCACACCTTATTACGCATCAGAGAATCCACACAGGAGAGAAACCCTATGAGTGCTGTGAGTGCGGGAAAACTTTCACTCAGAGCTCAGACCTTACTACACATCAGAGAATCCACACGGGGACAAGACCCTATGTATGCTGTGAGTGTGGGAAAAGCTTCACTCGGCGCTCACACCTTATTACGCATCAGAAAATCCACAAAGATGAGCAACCCTATGAATGCTTTGTGTGTGGGAAAAGCTTCACTTGGAACTCAGCCCTTATCTATCATCAGAGAATCTGCAAGGGAGATAAATACCAGGAAAAACTGTAGGGCTATTCAAACATTTTGTTTTCTTTAATACTTTTACTAATTACCATGTAGTAACTTTTAGTGCTGTTCGAACCATTTGCATCTCTGTCATCCTGCAACTTGTCCAGATGAGTTGCCAATTTTTGCCTTTTGCCCCATTTTGGGGTGGATCCCGTTGTCCTTTCTGTTAACTCCATTGTCCCATGAGTAATGGGAGTTGTCACCCTGCCTCAGTGGGTCACATCTGAAAATACCATATTCAGGACAAACTGCTGAGAAGTAGCACAGACACACCCCAAAACTGGTGGTTATTCTTCTGTAAGATATACCAAACTAGAAACAAAAGTAAACTTCTGTCTCACCACACTGGGTAACAAGAAGTCAGAAATGCAGCCTCCCTAAGTATTCCAGTTTTGGATTCAACACTCAGACACTAGACTTAATGATGAGTGGTTATTTAAGACCAATTTCATCAACCAAAGGACCAGCCATGTACCGAAGTCAATATATAACTCAGATCTTACCCAATAATCATGCTGTTGCCAATCTTTTAGTATCTAAAATCTAAATGTTAATTATAAGAGAAAAGAAAGAGGTAAGAGTTGTTTAAAGGAATCAAATACATACAATAATTGCCAAGTTCTTGAATCCGGCTTGAAGCAGTGATGGCATAAACTGCTGGCTTGTTAAGTCTCTGGTTGCTTCCAAATGATTGGAAGGTCCTCACTTCCTTGGTTAGACTGTTCCCATTAGTATAAGTTCATAGTCCAGAGGTTAGAGCAGGAAAGATGCAAAATGGAGATGTTACTAGGACATTTTATACTGTATATGCTCGTTCATAAGCCAAATATTTTTGGTAAAAAAGTGATGCATCAAAGAATGGGGGTCGGCTTATAAACAGTTCTACACCAAAATTTGATTATTTTAAACTCTATGGAATCATTAAATTGAATATCTAATACATTGTCATTTTGTTTACCTGGAGCATCTGCAGGCATGGAGCCCCTCAGCTCCCTGTGGCCACGGTTCACCATTCCCAGCCAATGGGAGCTGCAGGAAGTGGCAATGGTGACTCTGAACCTAGATGTGACTGATCCCCAACTCCCATCTGCAAGGGCCAAAGGAGAAAGCTCTCCCCTCCACCCCAGCCATCTGACTGCTTCCTTGCATGTTGGGCTGGGAAGGAGTCACCTCTAGGAGATGTCACTGGTAAGTGGGGGTAGGGGCAGTTAGTGGGCCCAGGGTGACTCCATGGAGTGTGCGTCCCAGTCTGTTCACCCGTTTACTGGACTATGTCAAAGTTTCTACAAAGTATGCCTTATAAGGTATCATTTAAAAGCTCATAATTGGCTGATCATTATTGTCCTGGTATAATATGTATGACAACATTGTATGTAAAGTCATAGTCTTCTACAAACAGTTCTCCAGGGACAAAAGGCTAGCCAATGCCCCAGCCAGGTGACAAAAAGATCAAATGGACCATCACCTGATTAAGTGGCCATTCATCAGCAGGAAAGAGGGTGTGAGCAAAAATCTGCATCTTGACAAAGAAGCAGCTTGAAGTTCCTTCCCAAACAGACTTTTTGTCTGGAGATGACTCTTGCACAAGAAAGGGGTCTATAAAAGAAGAAAGCAAAACGCAGCACATGGTCTCCCTCCTTTTCTCTCTACCCACAACATCATGAACATCTGAAGAACAAAGGAAGGAGCAAGGACTGAGGGGGAGAGCCTCCCTGAACACTGACTCAACTGGTAAAACTGTGTCAGCGTATGCCTTGAAGTCACTCAGTTTGTTGAGTTTGGTGTTACCTGTGTTTTACCTTTTATAGCTTTGTAACCAATTCGGACTTTTATGCCTCATTACTTGTAGTCACTTAAAAATCTGTCTTTCTGTAGTTAATACACTTGTTTTATTGTTTTATCTAGACCAGTGTGTTTGGATTAAAGTGTGTGGGAAACTCCATGTGGGATAACAGTGCTGCACATCTCATTTTATATTAATCAATTACAGAATTTATATGAGCTTGTACTATCCAGAAGAGTGCTGGGCAGTATAAAACACGCATTTCTGGGGAAAAGTCTGGGACTGGAAACTTGCTTGTGTCGCTCTGCAGTGTGATTCAGAGTGGCTGGCCATAGCACTCAGATAGCATAACTGGGGCTGACTTACATAAGAACGGCCATACTGGGTGAGACCAAAGGTCCATCTAGCCCAGTATCCTGTTTTCCGACAGTGGCCAATGGCAGGTGCCCCAGAGGGAATGAACAGAACAGGTCATCATCAAGTGATCCATCTTGTCACCCATTCCCAGCTTCTGGCAAAAAGAGGTTAGGAAACCATACCTGCTCATCCTGGCTAATAGCCATTGATGGACCTATCCTCCATATATTTATCTAGTTCTTTTTTTCACCCTGTTATAGTCTTGGCCTTCACAACATCCTCTGGCAAGGAGTTCCACAGGTTGACAGTGCATTGTGTGAAAAAAATACTTCCTTTTGTTTGTTTTAAACCTGCTGCCTATTAATTTCAGTTGCTGCCCCCTAGTTCTTGTATTATGAGAAGGAGTAAATAACACTTCCTTATTTACATTCTCCACACGCTGGAGGCTGGATGTGAGTGGTACCACTCACAGCGAGGCAGTGTAAAAGGCATCCCAGGTTGGAGTACTGAGGGGACACAGCTATTTTTCAGTCCAGAGAATGTCACAATGTGTTTAACCCTGAGGGGGGAATCTGAGCTGTGGGCAGTGGGAGCGGCAGTAGAATTCAGGGTAGGATCCAGGTTTCTATGGACTATGAGGGGGCATTTGTTCATATTGGTACCAAGGCCCAGATCTTCATTTCCCATTCAGCCCCTTTCTCTGGGGAGAGAATCTGCCCCAGCTCTGGGTCCTGGCCTGGGATCCTGCCTCACACTGTGCCCCTAATGTTTCTGGCAAAATGCCCAGGAGGGGCAAACACTCCGGGCACCTGCTTAGCACCCCATGCCCATGGCTTAGCTCTAGTCTTGGCTTCTGCTCCCCTCTGTAGAGTGTGAAAGGAGCAGAGGCATTGCAGGAGCCTTCCCTGGGGCCACGGGCCTGAGGCTTTGGGAGAGAGAGATTGTCTGAGACATCAGAGTGTTGGAAACCCTGTGGCCACTGGCTAAATCAGGGGCCTGTTCCAGCCCTGAGTCTGAGCTGCCGGGATCCCTCCCACAGAGCAGGGTGCCCCAGATCACAGCCTGAAGAAAAGGCATGTGAAACTAACTCCTGTTTTTGCATCTGAGCTGGGGGATAGAATGACCCTGGTGTAGGGTATGTGGGCATCATGCCACAGCACTGTGCAGCCATTCATGGCATCAGCACTTCTACCAGCAGCCCTGGGCCAGGCACAAAACCCCAAAAGGGCCAGGCTGGGCTACTTATATCAGCACTGCAGATGTGCGGCATATCCAATTGCAGCTGGGAAGCCAGGCTTTGCTACCAGGCAAGTCAGGGACTCTGTCTCCATTCTCTGGCCAGCCCCTGTGCTATTTATACCAACAAACACTGTGTTTTTTACAAGTGAAATCAATCCCAAAGTCTCCTTTCATCAGCTCTAGACATTTCTTTAAGCTTATGTTTGGCTCTCAGAGAAATAAACAAATCTGTCTGTGGCCAGAGGGGAGCTGAGTTCAATCCCTTGTCATAATCAATGAGCTTTGCATTCCTGATGCTGTGGCTCCATCGTGTGGCCATTCGGTGTCAGTCCTTTTAAATAAACAACATTTTTTTCATAGAAACGATATTTTTGTCATACAGACACAGGAGTAGATTAATTTACAAAGGGAAGGTGATCCCAAGGCAGTTCTGGAGGGAGAAGGGAACATTTTCAGCATTACTAAATTAATGTGTTGTGCCTCACACCCACACAGGGAAAATAACTCAGTGGTTTGAGCATTGGCCTGCTAAACCCAGGGTTGTTAATTATTTGAGTTACTAACACACTTAACAGAATATAGTAAACACCTTTATGTTCAATTAGATGAGTTAAATAATTTAAATAATTCTAAAAATATGTTCTGGGCAATGCATAAAAACAGTCATTGCATTGAACAATCCACTTGATATAATTAATGTACTACATGATATTTAAAGGAATTAAGAAAGATGGTATAAATTAATGTTTTGTGCTTTTTACATGCACGTGCCCATGCAAACACACACTCACACAGAATACACTGAATTATTTGAGCTACCAATACTTCCACTTTCTCACAGCATGTTAGTTCTGAAGGTTGTTTTAATGTCCTTATTTTCTTGGAACCAGAAATGGGGAACAAGAACACTGGAGTCAGTGGAATTACAGCAGTGAGCGATTAGTCTCATTATTTGTCACTAACAATAGGCTTTGTTAACACAGAGTTAAGGTTCCCCCAGAGGTATCTCGTACACATCCAGAACATTGAGTTCAGCAAAATTCAAACTCTGGAAATGCAGGGAATAGAGACTGAAGGTACATGCCCAGATAACCTTAACTCTGCCCTCTTGGAGAGATTCCATGGTACCATATGCGAACAAAGAAAGGTTTGGGGACAAATTACAGCTACTTCCCAAGAGTTTGTTTCTTTAGTAATTAATTGGTTATCCAAACAGCTCACTTCCCCACACATTTCAAAGAGATGGTATTTTCCTGACCCATAGGGAAGTTAAAGTAACATGCCCAAGATCACACAGTCCTTAGGAGAAAATAAAGGGGGGGAAATCCCTAGCCTTTTCCACCAAGTGTTCAATGAGACCAGAAAGTGAGACTAGAGAAGTAAGACTGTTCAATTAACTATCTGGTATTATACTAACCCTGCAATTAGTTAGATGCAGACACACCCAGCTCTATGCTCGGTAAACTTACAGAGACCTGCTGCTGATCATGAAATAGAAGCACATTGCCTCTAAATAGCTGCCCTATGAATGCATCTGAAAGTTACAAAAAACAATGATCTGTGTTAAAGGAAGGGTGCCATTTATTAGAGCCCCAATTCATGTTTTGCGCACAAAGAAAAGTTTTAATCTGTAACAAGTAGTTATTTTACCAGCTGTACAATAGACTGTGTCTGCATCTCAGCTTTGATTAATCCTCGCTTTTACTTTATTTGGATTATGGTACTTTCACAGTACTCTGCCTCATTCTAACATTTGGTCACAGATTGAATACGGGGAAGAATGGACTAATTTGGATTACATTTGGTAAGAAAACATAAACTACAGACTCAGAGGATTGGAACTGATTTCAGCTGATGGATGGGTGTGCTAAGTTTTTATACATTTGAACAGGGAAAATGTCGAGTGTTTAAATTCCTTTCAAACATACCCATTCAGTGGAACTCCTGAACATACTGGAGATGGATATGAAAATATATTTTAATTTAATAAAAACTCTTAAGGGAGCACTTGGATTTGAACCAGAGACCTCTTGATCTGCAGTCAAATGCTCTGCCACTGAGCTCTACTCCCTCTGATAATGGAATATTGGAGCCAGTGATCTTGAGGATTATGAAGGACACACCCACTTTCAAAGAGTTTCTGTTATATTCCCAGGCCATGGGTGATTTTAAAATTAGGGTTATATTAAAGTTTATAAATGCATATAAACACCACAGTTTGCCCAATCCCCACACCTGCTCAGTCTCACCAGAGCACAACTATTTTTGTGAGACCACACCCTGCTCCCCAGTCTGTGCCCAGGGCCCCAATAAATCTTAATCTGCCTGTGCCCTGGTATCAAAAAGGTTGAGAAACACTGTTCTAGAGAATGGCTTCTCCTGAGTGCTGAGGGGAGAGCTCCTGAGAGGTGTAGGGGGAGGAGAGAGAGAGGTGGAGGCAGCTGGTCTCACCTCTCTTATCCCAGACTAAAAGTGGGTTTCTTATAGCTTAATTGTCTTCCAAGGTGATATCAGCTAAACTGAGAACAGGCCCCACTTCTACCAGAATGAGGGCTTCGCTACACTTACTGGGGGATCTACGAGTGGTGATCGATGCATCGGCGGTCAATTTAGTGGGTCTAGTGAATTCTGTACTCCACCGGATCAAAAAGAGTAGGGGGAATCAATGGGAGATCCCTCCAGTCGACATTGCATAATGTGCACCCCACGGTAAGTAGATCTAAATTACATCGATTTGCGTTATGCTATTCACGTAACTCAAATTGTGTAGCTGAGATCAAATTTCTCCTGTAGTGTAGACAAGGCCTTAGTGTCCCCATGGGGTGTTCTACTGGTATAAATACAGCAGTGTCAATGGACTCCCTTATGGCATGTCTACACTTACCAGGGGATTGATGCTGTTGTAATCGATGCAGCAGGGGTTAATTTAGTGGGTCACCCGCTACATCAACCACAGAGCGCTCTCCGGTTGACTCTGGTACTCCACCGGAACAAGAGGAGTAAGGTAAGTCAATGGGAGAGTGTCTCCCAGGGAAAGATTTTGCTGTTCATGGATCAGTGCAAAGGAAATTGTTTCTCTGTGTGAAACTGAGGAGGGAAAAGAAACACCCACATGGTGGGACAATGCCCTAAGGAATGAGGGGGAAGGACTCTGGCTGAAAACTGAATTAACTCCACTCAGGTTTGAAACATTTGTTTTTTCCAAGCACATAGTGGGAAATGGGATATTAATTCAGACCCAGGGGGCAGGGCTAAGGCCTCATGACCTTGATCCCAGGTCAAGGGAGAGAGGCAAAGCCCAGAGCTGCCTTTAGTCTCAGGCTGGGGTCTCCTGGGTGGTGGAAATGTCCCTTGTTCACTGCTGAGCTCATGGGATCTTTCTGCTCCAAAGGCTCCAGAGTCCCGGGAGTTGGAAAGGGGTCACTGTGCAACCTGCAATGCCAGGGAGGAACAGCAAAAGGAGAGGAAAGAAATAGAGAAAACACCTCTGCTCTCTCCCCTCCCCCTCCCAGCAAGAAATGTTATAA